TTCATGCGGAATTGGTTTGGAAATTCCAAATATACCACGATGATCTACTCGACTAGTAGAACAAGTTAGTCTATTTATTTCCATAATTTGACTGTCGGATCAAGTCTGAATATTTGGTCAAAATTGAGACAAAAGTCTTTTTTTCATGATTTATATTTAACCAATTCCAATAATTTGAATCTGTAATTTAATATCACTAATGCTGCCACTTAGCATGGTCTGCTAAATAGCATTTAGTCAAGAATCATGCTGGTGTACAACATTTTTTTACAATGTTGGTTGACAATCATATTTGTCAAAATCACATTCATCTATTTCAAACAATGTTTTTAAAATTAATGGTCCGGATTTTGACAACATTAATATTGTCATCCATCATTGTCAAGGACAATTGTACAAGTAGATTAATTCTTTAGTCAATGGAGACATTAGAGTTGAACTATTGTCATGCACTAATCATGCATGCATGCAAAACATACACACGGAAACCAATCAGGAGAGCAAATTGAGGGTGTTTGAATATGGCACCCCCAGAGAAGTGGGTCCAACGCGGGGCAATGAGCAAATTGAGGCACATCTGAGGGTCTAAGATGTGGATAGAAAAAGCAATTCACTCTCTCACTCAAAAACCGACCAAGTCCAATACTCCACGTTCTTCCTCCCCTCACTCACTGTCCCCTTTCTCCAAATATGTATAAAAAGGATGATTTGTTGCGAGTAATGAGCTACAAAATCCAAATCCCCCACTGATTGTCATGTCTCCATTTCATTGGTTGGTATAAGCTTTTATTATGGATTTCTCTGGTTAAAAAAGATTAATGATTTCAACTTTTTTCTGGGTTTTGCAGAAGATTTGAGCCTTCGTTGATTGATGCAGTATAGTTATTATTTTTTATTAGAGATCAGGTACAGTGATTCTCTCCATTTGCTGTTTTTATGCATATTTTTATTTTGGATATTCTTTCTTTTTAATGTTTTGGGTGAGGGCAATTATTGAATCTTGGCTATGGACTCACTCGTTGCACATAACTTCAATAATGCCAATTATCGAGAGCAATAGGAGTGATAAGATCACCTTGTAGTCCTTTATTCTCATAATTTACTTATTTTACTTATACATATGTTTATGTCTCATCGCGATAACGTAAATCTTTAGTCTAACACTTAATTCCATTTTAAAATATCAATCTTAGTAAGAGGGGTAGTTTAAGCGCCCGCTTATACCTTGGGCGACACACACATTGCAATGGCCAGGACAAAGGATAGCTATCCCGCTTGTTGAATTTTTATTGTTAAGATACCCGTATAAGATGGTGGTTTGTTCGATACCAATCTTGGATCCGAAAGCTTGTTTGTGCTCTATGTTGTGTTGAGAAAACTTGTATACTTTTTTCGTTTTGTGTGAAAAATGAGGAATTTCGAAGATTTACGTGGTTCAAAAATATGCCTGCAGGCACAAACTCCAAATCAAGTTTCCACTATAAAAATTGATTATAGGTTCGTTTTCCTTTAAGGCGGGGCGACTTTCTTAGTCTGGCACATACTATTGCTATGTTACAAAATGCAGCTATCATCCTCTTTACTTATGCTTTGATTGCAATTCCTTAATCTGAGAAATTTGTTTTCAGTTCTAAATGGGAAAGGAATATAGTGGATCCCCAAAGCTTCAATTGCTGGAAATAAAGAGAAAACGTCTCATGTGGGTGTTAGTTGTTAGCGGTCTGTGTGTGTTTTTCTATGTTCTCGGGGCTTGGCAGGGTCCAACCAATCAGTCTGAACTCTACTCTAGAGTTGGATGTGAGGTTGGATCGACTGAGAAAACGAGCACTGACCAGCTTCCATCATCATCCTCGGATCCACAACCGGTGTCAGACCCGCTGGACTTTGAAAGCCATCATCAGTTAATAGTTAACAGTTCTGAGGAATCGCAAAAATTCCCGCCATGTGATATGTCATTCAGCGAATACACCCCGTGCCAAGATTGGCAAAGGGGTCGGAAATTTGATCGCAAAATGTTGAAGTATAGAGAGAGACATTGCCCTAAAAAGGAAGAGTTACTCCGCTGCCTCATACCTGCTCCACCGGACTACAAGACGCCTTTCAAATGGCCACAGAGCCGGGATTATGCATGGTATGCCAACATCCCCCACAAAGAGCTTAGTATCGAGAAAGCGGTTCAGAATTGGATCCAAGTTGAAGGAGATCGCTTCAGATTTCCCGGGGGTGGCACGATGTTTCCACGTGGTGCTGATGCTTACATTGATGATATTAATGAACTTATCCCCCTTAATAATGGAGCCATTCGAACTGCTGTTGATACAGGTTGTGGAGTAAGTACATCTCTAACAACATTTCATTGCTTATAGGTATAAAAAAAACACAACTATAGTACGTTGCTCGTTTTGAACTTTTAAGGTTGCAAGTTGGGGTGCTTACTTGTTAAAGAGGGACATTGTAGCTATGTCTTTTGCTCCAAGAGATACACATGAAGCACAGGTTTGGTTTGCATTAGAAAGAGGCGTTCCAGCAATGATTGGCGTCATGGGTTCACAGAGACTTCCATACCCTGCACGGGCTTTCGATATGGCTCACTGTTCTCGGTGCCTCATCCCGTGGTTCAGCAATGGTAAGGCGTTACCGGATTTTCTTAAATATTTCTACAAGAGAAAAGAGACGAATCCACAATAAATATTTTTATTCGAATGCTTGCAGATGGATTGTATCTGATTGAAGTCGATAGGATTTTGAGGCCCGGTGGTTATTGGATACTCTCTGGCCCTCCTATTCGTTGGAAGCAATACTGGAGAGGTTGGGAGAGGACCCAAGAAGACTTGAAGCAGGAGCAAGATTCGATTGAGGATGTTGCTAAACGACTCTGCTGGAAGAAAGTGATTGAAAAGGACGATCTTTCTGTTTGGCAAAAACCTTTCAACCACATCCAGTGTATAAAGAACAAACAGATATATCGTACACCGCATATCTGCAAATCGGACAATGCAGATGCAGCTTGGTACTTTCTGAATCATTATGTAACCATATAACTTGACTTAAAAATGTTAAATTACACTAAACTTCACCTGTATTAACAAGGTACACTGACATGGAAAAATGCATAACCCAACTGCCAGAAGTAAGCAGCCCTGATGAGGTTGCGGGAGGCAAATTAGAGAAATGGCCAGAGCGTGCATTTGCTGTTCCGCCAAGAATTAGTAGTGGATCAATCCCAGGTGTCACCGTTGAGAAATTTCAAGCGGATAATGAACTGTGGAAGGGTCGTGTGGCACATTACAAACATATTGTTAGTCAATTACATCAAGGACAATATCGAAATGTAATGGACATGAATGCTTATTTCGGTGGATTCGCTGCAGCCTTGATGAAATACCCAGTATGGGTTATGAATGTGGTCCCTGTAAATTCAGATATTGACACATTAGGACTGATATATGAGCGCGGTTTCATTGGTTCGTATCAAGATTGGTGTGAAGCATTCTCGACTTATCCACGGACTTATGATCTCATCCACGCAGGAGGTGTCTTCAGCATATATCAGGACAGGTAAAATGCTATATATCTGTGTTTCTCAATTGTTAACGCGTGTAACTTGTGCTTGGCTTATTCTGCTAGGTGTGACATTACGTACATTCTCCTCGAGATGGATAGAATTCTACGACCAGAAGGGATTGTTATATTCAGAGATGTGGTGGAAGTCCTGGTGAAGATTAAAAGTATAACAGATGGAATGAGATGGGAAAGTCGAATTATGGATCATGAAAGCGGACCATTTAACCCTGAGAAGATTCTTCTAGCTACGAAAAGTTATTGGACTGGTGAAGCCAAACAACAACATCGATAGTTCGAGTTAGAGATTCATCGAGGTAGTAGGCAGAATTCATGTAGAGATTAGGATGCTCACCCAAACTTTCAGCCTCAAGGCATTTTTTCTGTATAAGTAAAAGTTATTAATCAATGAGATTACTCTGTAACAACATTCCATTTGCTTCTGAATGTATTACTTGTTATCTCTATGTTTTAGTCAGGACAGATAAAGATGGTCATGTTTTTAATGTCAAATTATATGAATTTTTAGCCTTGTACACTTACACTTGAGGCTGATATAGGTGTGATTGGACTGTTCTCGTTATAACTATTTGTAACTCAAGTTTCAGGTGTTGATGCGGCATCGAGAAAAGTCAATTTAAAGTCAAGCTACTGCTAGGAGGTTTGACAAAGGTAAGTTAGGATGACAAATCATACGAGTCAGAGAAACGAATTACGGGCTAACAGGTCCAATCGAGCAATTTCATCTAATTCTATCGCTTGGACGTGTGGAAACCATTGACTTTATATTCAATACATTATGCACATCGTTTATTTTACTAAAGTTGTAATTATTCCACGTCAACAACTAACGTCTAAATGTGATGATCGTCATTTATTGACTATCACGTCATCAATTTCTGTCAGCGAAATTGGAGCAAGTGATCTTAATTAAAATTACATTAAAGTGTAATTACTCGATAAAATAAAATTATAACGTAGTTACTTGAGTGACACTTAAATGAAAATATAATTACCACAAATAATACAAAAATCGAGCTATATGTTCATAACACATAAAGCGAATTAGTATTATTTGTGGTAATTATATTTTCATTTAAGTGTCACTCAAGTAACTACGTTATAATTTTATTTTATCGAGTAATTACACTTTAATGTAATTTTAATTAAGATCACTTGCTCCAATTTCGCTGACAGAAANCAAGGGGCAACTTTCCACGCCACCCGCTTTCAACTCAACTATCTCTTCTCCAGACTTGAATTCCCACATAATCAAGAATTCGTTAATTGATTTCTTCTTCTTCTTCTTCATTCTACTTTATTCAAGAGTTGGAAAATCGTTAAATGTATTGTGTCGTTGTATGATTGATATGCGAATTTGCATATATTAATGGTTACAGGAAATGGGCAGTAGCAATTGAAATTGAAAGGGGGTAATAATGGTGTTGCTTTTGTTGTCAGTATATCTTCTTGGGGCTTTTACAGTAATTGCAATGGAAGCAGCGGGACTGTGGATTTTGATTCGTCTAATAAATCAGAGAGTTGCGAAAGAACAAGGGAAAGAGAAGGATTCAGCTTCGGCGGGCGACCTCAATCCGACTTTACACAACATTCAGGTAATTTAGCTCTGATACGCGCGTACAATGTCTACGATTTTTTTTGGGATATGAATTCTTTACGTATTTATGTTTGTCAAGGATTATATGTACGAATAAGGTATTTGATGAGTTAATCCACTTCCATGTCTTGCTTTTACAGCTATATGGGAAGTTCCTCCACGTATTTCTTGGTTTAAAACTGATATTAGAACAGAAGATATGAAACCACACCTGTTTATATTGCTTCTGGAGGTGAAAAAAATAAAACTAAGCCTAACTAGAATAGACATTTCTTTCAGAATACCATGTTGAGAAGTGTTACATCCTATGATCTGTGTTTATCTTTTATATTTTGACATTGGTGTTAACTTGTCTTTTGCCTCAAACAAGGCTGGAACATGAATAGATGGAAATTTGTCCAATACCTCTTACTATAGTTTTTGCAATAATTTTCTTTTGCAACTATATATTTTTATGTAGTTGAAAACTTTTTGTCTACTGCTTTTATAATTGTTCATCTCTTGAATTTTGGTCTTTCTTTAAATATAATCACAATTTTTCTAGAACTTGCAAGATTCTTTTTCAGTTATCGTGCTTGAGACAAATATTTTTAATGGAGAAAACATAAACACCAAAATGGATAAAGAGTTGTAATTGCTCAGATCCAAATAACTCATTGTATGCATAAACCGGGTTTTATCAATTTAAATCATTTCTGTTTTTATTACTAGAAATTATTATTCTGGTTCAACCTTTTAACATGGATATGCCATATCTGAAATTCAGCAATATAAGATATCGTTTTTTTTCTATTGATAATTACTTAAAAGCATATAGACTAGCATCATATGTTCAAATGTTGGCACCTCGGCCTTTTTATTTATTTATTATTATTATATATTACTTTTCTGTGTGAACCGGTCTTCATTTGAAGAATATTATACACCAAGTCCCCTTTTGTTTTGAGGGACACGGAGAATTTCAACTTCTGTGTTTGGACAAATAGAGATTGAATGTATGACACTTCTCTATTTCAGTACTTTTTGTTCCCTTCTTTCCTCTCAAGTACCATGAAATAAATAATTTCTTTTATAAGTTTTCAACATCTCCTGAATCTTGTGTCTCTCAAATGTCCGAATACCAGAAACATAGCTGCTTCAGGTCTGAGCATATATCTTATAATACTACGAGTTAGTATCTAGTTTCTTTGAGAACGTTACCAACCAGTCTTCAACAGTTGCCTTTTGATGTCTATGCATAAAATCAAACTAGTATACAAAAATTAGAAACTTTAAATTACTTCCCATTATTGCATATGACTGCAAAATTTTGATACATGATTATTATTTCTGAAAAAAACTACATCATTATTGTAATATATTTAATTATTTTTGTTGCTCCCTATCATATGTATTTTCTTTTTCTGGTAGGGAATTGAGGGGAAGATTTTCCGGAACATATACGAAGTATCATTTTTATGATGACCTCTTGCCTACATGCTCATCATATATTTAATTAAATATCATCTATCCACCTGTCTTATCCTCAAACTTATCATTTTGTTCTCAAATTTATCGTTTTGTTTTTGTCGGTGTTTCAGGGGGATATATGGGTTCTAGAACCGGAAAAGGTTCCGAAACCCGGGCTTTTGGACAAGGCGCCTAAGGAGCAAAAGAGGAAAAATGAATTTTTGGAGGTTATACCTGTCCAGAGATATGCAAAAATTAAGGATCACCGTCTTATCCTAACTGAGACAGATGGTTCACATATAGAGATTTCACTCAAGGGATGCACAATAGCAGCTGTATCAGCAACAAGCTTGTCCTCAAGAAAATGGTGATTTGACATTTTCTAGAAAGTCTTTTAGAAGTTTGAATTTCTGATTACTTAGATGCAAGTACTTGTGTTTATGGACCATTTCATAAACTCCTGACAGACAGACTTTGTAAGCTGTGATTTCTGGTCGAGAATTAACTGTTTAATGATGGATTTCTAAATCCACTGTCTCAAATCATGTACTTCAGTGAATATGCTGTTCGAGGCTTACATTTGAGAAATAGAGTTTATTCTAACTGAACTTAATTGCAAAGTTCTTGTTCTTATTGGTTCAAGGTGGCTTGATTTACTCTAATAAACACTATTTGGCACTTAGCAGCTTTTTCAATCTTTTATTGGATTTTGGTTCCGACAAGTGAGAATGATACATCCTTTTTGGTTGAGTTGATTTGGACTGACAGATCTCATTAAATTCATGACCAAGAAATATTGATGCACTAGCAGCAATAACAAAGTAAAATGAAATAAAAATATATTTCTGTGATTAGAATTTTTTACCCTGCAGTATATTGCATGCCATGCATTCCCAGAAATCCCTTTAGATTGTTCCAATCCACTTTATACAGTTCTAATCCATGTCAGGATTTTCTGTTTTAAACTTGTTGATTATTTCGTGATTTCTGTTTGGATTTGATAGAGTTCTTATTTCTCCATGAGTACTGTGTAATGATCCTGGAAGAACAGTAACATATGATTCTTTCTTTTTCTTATAATAGGGCGAAAAGATATCCTATAATAGTGGAGAGTGAAGGTTCAGTAATATATAAGGGAAGTAAAACAATTTACATATATCTTGAGACGTCTTGGGAGAAGGAGTCCTGGTGTAAAGCCCTCCGCCTTGCTTCCTGCGATGAAGAAAAGCTTAAGTGGTTCACCAAGTTGAAAATAGAGTTTCACAATTACCTGACATCACTGAATGCAGGATATCCTTCTTTTATGAAACCCTCCAGGGTTTTCAGTGCTAAACCACTTGATAAGCCTATTAAGATTGATGGTTCATCAAAGGTTCGCCAGTTCCTCAAGAAAATTGCAAAGAAGGCTTCTATAAGTGGAGTAGATTATATAGCAAGTGGAAATTCAACTTCAGGCCGTGATGAAAGAAAGTTGGGTGAGAAGTCTCGTTCATTCCAAGACTCAGTTCTGGCTCCTGGCTTAGTGAAATTGGCCCCAACAGGAAAGCTTTCTAGTGTTTCTTCTGAGAACTCTAGGGGGGCATCATCAACATCATCTTCTACTGAGCCAGGAAGCAGAGTTCATATTTCTGGAATATCTGATGTGGAACCTAATCTCAGGAATTCTAGTGATGATGGAACACTTTGTTTGAATTTGTTAATATCACGATTGTTCTTTGACACCAAAAGAAATTTGCAGATTAGGAACTCAATCAAAAATCGAATTCAGGTTTGTCTTATATATTTGAACCGCTGATATTTTATTGAAGTAAGTTTTTGTACATGTAAATGCACAAAAAGTTTGGCTTGTTTTTATTTTTTTCTCATACATGATTTATTAAATAACCTTTCAATTAAAATTTTGAATTCAGACAATATTTCTTAAGTTTTCTATACATTACTTTTATGTTTTTGTAGGTTTTCTTCAATATAATTTGCTGCAGACTAACTAAATTATGATAGTCAGAAAATCTGATCAAAAACTGTGTCCAGATTATAAATATTGCTAGCGATTTGAAGAATAGAAGATTTTCCCTTGTTAATATAATAATTTCTGGAAATTGTAACTTTTGATCTCCAACCTATTGACTGAGTTGCTAGTTGGTCCCCATCCTACAAAAGGAAGCAAGTTGGTCTTCAATCTTTCAATATAGACGCATCTTTAGTCCTCGTGAACAAAATCTGCCAAAACAATTCTTAAAATAACATCTGACTTGCTCATGTCGATGGGTTTTAAAGTAAAAATATATAAACAAATACTTATATTAAAAGAAAAACCAATAGAGAGAAAAAAAAGAAGAAACAAATAGTGCAAAATGACAGTTTGGTGGCATTTGAAGAGTGCGGCACCCAGGTTCTTAACTTAGGTTGGTTTTAAATTGGTCCATAGATGTTACTGAAGCCCAGTGACGGTGCCTACTGTGATTTTCCTGACCGACCTAGTACCTTGAGTTCCATTCAGGCTCAATGTTTGGCAATATCAAATACCCGTTTCATAGTTGAAATTTCTCTCTGAGTCAGCCTGGAAGATTTTTTTGGTCCATTGCCATACTAATGCTTTTTCAGGTAAAGGGTATTGTCTATTCATTTCAATTACTACTTAGATATCTGATCATTGAGGGTCTTTATATGCATATTGATATTGGTATTGGTATTGGTATTGCAATGTATAAAATCTTGCGATAATTTTGATGTACATATCAGCTTTCTCTAAAGCTAAGTCAACTAGAAGGCATTGTCAGGCTTGTCTTAATAATGTAATATGTGGAATAGTGAAATATTTTCTCTATTTGTGCAACGTACTATTGTGACATAAATGATTAGTGTTTTTCATTTTTTTTTTTGTATAAAAAATCTACAACATATGGCTCTCATGTAGTGACATACTAATGCAGTTCACCAGAAGATGTTGTAGGAGTATATTGTTGTTTGTGGCACAACTAACCTGTATATTCTGCACTATAATAGATAACATTATCCAACATGCGAAGACCTAATTACCTCGGTGAAGTCACGTGTACTTCTGTAGATCCTGGTAGTCTGCCTCTACATATTCTTGCAATGAGGGTCATTCCCTGCGATACGAATGAGCTGTTGGCCTTGGAAGTTGATGTAGAGTATTCTGGTGGCATGATTTTGGAAATTGAAACAAGGCTCAAAATTCGAGAGCTGGAACTTGAAGGAGAGCAAACTAGCTCGAACTCGAGCACTGTTGGTGAGGTCACCTCTGATCTACTGGAAGGTATTGAATATTTTGGGAAACAATCGAAGCTTTCTGAAGAGACAACTGATGGAGTAGAGCAAAAAGATGAAGGAGATCACATCATGGGTATGTAATCAAACCATTCATTAATTCTTCATCCAAGTTTACTCAATTTAGTTGCATTTTGATGTGCTCTACAAATATCGCCTTGATATAAGAGCTTTTGTTTTGAGACTGAACCAGTAATTACTCTAAATTTTGGCGAAATCAATTCATCTATTAAATAAAACATTAGATATGATGTGTGGAATAGCTTTGCAGTAGCTTAGCTTTTATACATTACTTTAGTTACCTGAATCTCCTGCCCTTCCAGATAGTCACACTATGTAGCATAAGTTTTATGTGTTTGAAGGTTTTGCTTGAATGATGGTTTGGCATCACAATATGGTAAATCGGAAAAATGGTTGATCATATTAGAACTGATGTTTATTAACGTTGACTTGGAACAAAACAGAAAAAGGATTCGCTTATCACATGAGGCAACAGGATTTGAGATTTCCTATGGCATACTGATTTGAATTTGACCAATTTGAATAATTTTCTTATAGGATGTTTGCGGGTTTGAAAACCATGCTCTATGATCTTTCTTAAATAGCAATACAAATCTAATTGAAATGGACACAGGGAAACAATAAAATGTCACTTGCATACTTGCACAATATATAATAGCAATAAATAATAATTCTAGTCTAACTCATTTTGGTATATAATTCACTATGGATAGGGCTAAAACTGGATGAAATAATTCCTAGAATTTCTATAGAAGTATAACTAGAGTACTGTAATAATTCGTTTTTGGCATGCCCTAAGTTTTTAGCTTTGACCATTTGACCTGCGCTATTGTGTAACTTAGGGCATAGAGAAGTTACCAACCAAAGCATTAACATGTGGTCTATCAAGTAGTTAACCATATTTCTTGATTTTTTATTTTGCTTCTCTTGTAGGTCAATTTACACATATTCCTAATAGCATGTTTTGTGAACCATGTTTCTTACCCATGCGTTTCCTAATAGCATCTTTTGTGAACCATGTTTGGATGCATTTCCTTAAAAATACAGTGCTTAACATTTCTTACCCATGCATGATGAAGCTATTGTCATAAAGTCCAAGAGCCATGTAGTAATGCAGTCCATATAAAGTAATCCAGTGCTCCCGTATTTATAGAGCTGCATCTATCCTTGAGGTTAAGAATTGGTTTGAATTTTGATTGCCTTCTCTGTAAATTGAAATCTTCCACGAAATCAATGTTTGAACCATCCATTGTTTCGAAAACTTGGTTCTTTGGAGAAACTTTGACTAGTAAGGAACAATTTGTGTTTGGAGTTTGGACCCCTATAGTCTCTGATGAAGCCAGTAGCAATGGAAGTTAATAATCTGAAGATTTGATTTAGAATGGTTGGTCTTTTATCATGAAATAAAAATGCTCCTTTGTCATTTTACGTCACTGTATTGGAAACAGTGCGTGGGATCTGAGTTTTGGGGGCACAAAAACTTCCCCTGAATTCTCTGGTAGAATAGCAACTAATCTAGAAAGAACTTAACTATGTTTGAATAAGTTGTGAGACGATTAAACCATTTATATGCTTGCTTAGGTATATGCTTGGTCCAGAATTCCAGACACCTGTGTTAGACATGATTGGTTGGTCAAGTATCCGATGCAAGTGATTAAATGCAGCTGTAAAATTCCTTCTTTCTCAGCTTTCCATAAATTTCTAAAGTATATGTTTGAGAAAGAGTGCTTGCTTGTATGATGCTTACATTTTTCTTGGAGATAAATTACTTAGGTAATTGATGTCTATGGAGTAGACAGCATATGACCTAACGACCTTTTTATCTCTTCATTTACTAAGACGGGCAACCCACTGTGGTGAATTCTTTTCTCATTTGAACGAAATAATCAGATCAATCTCCATGTTGCTGGACTGCTGCATAGAATTGAGTATTAGGGCCTTTGAGACCCTCATTGGTCTGCAATTCTAGTTTGTATAGTATATATAGGCATGTTTAGTAAAGGCTAGTTCTCTACTGCACAATTTCTTTATTAGGAGAGAGGGATGGAGTCTAAGAGGATGCACAAAGGGACGACTCACATAAATTTTGTTGAAGTGGATGAAGGAGAGAAAAGAATAGTGTGAAGGATGGTGGCCTCTCTTTATTTCAACCAAATGCTTTTCCCAAATCTGTTTATAAAGGAGAACAGTGAACTTTTTAGGATGTTGGACTTCGTAATTTGTTATGGACCTAGTTTTCAAGAGCTTCAATTAACACAGAAATTATTCTAGCTCAAGTCTATCAATGTTAGTTCATTTATGAATCAAGCTGGTCAGAGTGCGGAAGAAGCCAAGTTTACTGCATCAAAAAATGGAGAAAGTGCAGAGTGATATCTTGGATTTAGGGGTTTGGTCTTAAAAACATACTTATTTGATTAATATCATTTGCCTCATATATGCATTAGGGTTCGACGTCATGTATATCAAAACTCTGCACTCTGAATTGTGAAATCTGTTTCTAACCGTCTTCTTAATTCAAAGGTGACATGAAGTGATCAAAAAAATTTGTGTGATTTGTGATTGGAGTTGGTACAGATGGAGAACTTTAATTTCTCAATACATTCTTAAGTTCATAATAAGCTTCTATTTATTCCCTGTCTATTAAATTAAAACTAAACTCCAGCCATATATATCCCTTTGTAGATCAAGATTTCATGCCTAAGTTTCAAAAAACTGTCAACACAAACACAATGAAAAATATATTATATGTGCATATCAAATACATAAATACAAATCCATCAAGCCTCTCTTGATATTTTGGAAGTTCGGAGGACATATCTTTGTCAAACTTAAACTTATCTTTGTACAATGATTTAAACCAAAATTCCCCTGCATCTTTACCTAAGAAGAATTAATACGGAGATTTGAATGAATACTACATGACACCAACCAATTTTCCAAAACCTAGGACACCATGACACCAACCAATTTTCCAACACCTAGGACACGTCAAGACGGAGACACCTAAAATTAAAAATTTTCGTACTTATTCATATAAACAAGATATAACATTATTTTCATATAAAATAATCAACATATATACATCTTTAAGATTAAAAATTTAAGCACTAAAGTCTAAACTAAACATAACGTGATAACACAAATTCAATTGCATTTGATAGTCAAAATTTATATTTGAATGCCAACACTTCGTCAAAGATACATAATCATGAAACTAGTTGCCTGATTGATGTAGATTTTTTGAAAAAAAAAAATCTGTCAAGTGATTTTTTTGAAGAATGTATGATTAAAAAGTAGTGACATGCAATTTATTTTACCAAACAAGGGCTAAATATCTAAACTCATTTTAGCATGGCAAAGTGAGCTCAGAGCTGACTTTATTTTCCGTGTGCTTCATGTTTAAAGATACCCCTCTCACCATATACCAAAAATGAAAAAAAATAAAAAAAAATAATAATAATAAATAAATAAATAAAAATTGACTTTATACCCAACGTAAACATCATCTTATGCTGCTTTAATTGCCCACATAAAAAATGATTCCCTATGCCAACCAAGAACTTCATCCGCCACTTGACTCGATTTCATCTGCCTCATCATCACTAACTTCACCTTCATTTATACTATCACCGCTGAAGAGAACTCATTTGGAAGTATGGTTCATAAAGTGAAAGTTGTGTGATCTCAATATCTCCTACACCTTTATGCAAACCAATAGCTTCTGCAAAATTGTGCCTCTTACTTTGGCCTGCCTTGTATAAAGGAGCTGTTCTTGACATGAAAGTGTGAAACTAAGGTTTCTATGAATGAAAACAAATTCCTCAGTATCTTAATGAAGTAATGTAGTAGTTCATTAATAAAGTCTGCGGGAAAATAATTAGAAACAAAAGAAGATGCCTGTGGAAGCATGTTGGAATGTCTCAGAAGTTGTGAGAAAGCATGTCACAAATGAGTCCTTGCAAGTTGGCACAACTGAGATTCTCAAAATAAATGGCAACAATTGTCAGATCCCTAATATGTTAGGCCTAAGGGAGTGTTGGTGCTTTATAATCTTACTATTCTGTTTTTCGAATTTTATTTGATTCAGAAAATTAAATACTACTATTGTTATCAAAAAAGAAGTTTCCTACTTTCCTATGCATATCTACTCTGATTAGATCCGTTGACTTGATTCTAATGTTTCATTTATTTTTGATTTCTGTATACACTAGAAACTTGTGTTTCATCCAACGATAATATATTAATCTCCCTTGTAATGTAGTTCCATAACCTCAACTCTCTGCAGATGAGATTAGAGACTCCAAAAGCACTACACCTGCATCATCTCAAGTGCCTAGGTGGAAGTCTGTAATACATTCCATAACCAAACAGGTTCAACAGGTTTGTAACTCCATTCTTACTATTAGCTATTTCTGCTGAGGTATATTCAATTTCCAAGACTGTAGGATTCTCAACCAGAAGTTTACTGGTCAGGACATTTTCATGACGTACCTAGTCAGCATCTTTGTTTATTTTTTAGTTTTCCTTTGAGTGTTCTTTGATTTTATGTTATTTTGGAAGTGCTTTAATATTCAGCTGGGAATCTAACCAGTTTCTTTTGCACTGATATGTAATTTCACAAGTAAAAACCACTTCAAATTTATTTTCTAAATGAATCCATTCTGATCTTAGGGTCTCTCCTGAATCACCTCCTCCTCTAACTTATCAAATTCTTCAATCTAACCAAAATTCTGTCTCTTCCTATTCTTAGATCTCCAAAGACTTGTTCCAAATCTCGAATTAATTTTTCACCATCTTCAATTTCCCCATAAATTTAAAACCTGGTCATCAGCCTTTAACTACCTCGCATCACCATTTTTGAACTTCCTCTCTAAACTTCGACAACTCAACCTCATGTTTTCAAATCTAAACTGGGTGTGGCCCTATTTTTGATGGGCAAGTATCTCAGCAGTCACATTTTTAGATAGATGTATGGAAAGAGATAAAAAATAGTATCAGAAAATCTGGTTAAATTTTTATGAATTAGTTGTGAAATATGATGTGGTTTGGAATTAGATAAGGATATTTTGGATTTGTTGAAGTTAAAACAGCTAAACACTTGGAAGTTTAACATCAAATCAAACGACTATTAGGCAAGTTTATAAAACCTATGGGCGGGATTGAAATGTGAAAGTTGAACAGTTATTTCTGCACTAGAATTCCAAATGTAACACAAGTGGAAATGGTAATCGGGAACACGCGTTCGTACACATAGCTGGGGATGGGAAGGAGAGGATAGGAGAGGAGTTGAGAGACAGAGATCGATCGATTGATGATGATATAGGATAAGATACTTTGGTAAGTGAATTGTCTAGAACTCCATATATACAGTTATCATATGTAAATATGCAGCTTGTATTTAGCAGCGATTAAAGTGCAGGATATTGTTGAAATGATTGTCTTTCTTCTAACCTGATTATTCTTTAATTATTGAAGGTTCCTATCTCTTTGGGGGTGAGGGTTTCTTCTCTTCATGGAACGATGAGGATCTATGTAAAGGGTCCACCTTCTGATCAGATATGGTTTGGATTCACATCCATGCCCAATATTGAATTTAATTTGGAGTCTTTTGTTGGGGACAACAAAATTACAAGTGGGCGTGTTGCTTTGTTCTTGATCGGTCGATTTAAGGTGAGATCAGTGATATATAACATATACACATTTTCTACATTTAACCTGTATGTTGCTATGAAAGTGTCCAGCAGACACCTGTTCATTTACTAGATTCGTCTTTGAAAAGGAACCTGGTTGCTTCAGACTTAGCTATGGGTAGTTTTTTCTATCAATGGTTCAAAAACTGTTTAGAAGCCTAAGCTGTTGTTGGCTATAATATTATTAAGGGCGACTTGGAAGTACAGATTGGTACAAGTTTGAAGATATTGATTCTGTAACATTTCTTGCAGACAGCAATTCGTGAAACTTTGGTACTTCCAAACTGTGAAAGTGTTTGCATTCCTTGGATGTTAGCGGAGAAGGATGACTGGGTCCCCAGGAATGTCGCTCCGTTTATGTGGTATAATCAAGATAAATCCAGTAGCTCTACCACAAAACAAGAAGCACCCAGTCTCCAACCTGGGGATGAGAGATCAAAGTGTGTTGGCCATGCTGCAGAATCAACAAATCAATCCTTGGGCTCAAGTCACGTGGATTCGTCAACTTCCAATAGCCATTCTTTCCAAGATCAACTTAGAGCCCCTTTGTTAGACAAGGGAACCCCACAAGAAATTGCGCCTAGAAGCCCAGAGGAAAAATCGAATATACACCCACTGCAATCTCAATCAATAATCATTTCAGAGGGACAGAATGATACTTCAGAAGAAGATGATTCTAGTAGATCTAGGAGGATTGGGAGGAGAGAACGAATGCTAGGGTTGGGTAAGAAGATGGGGGAAAAGCTCGAAGTCAAGAGGCGTCACATTGAAGAGAAAGGAAGAAGTTTTGTTGACAGGATGAAGGGAACATAGAAAATGAATGGTAACACTGGATTTTATTTGCAGTAGATACTATTTTTAGGTGACTTGATCTTTATCATCCGTAGAGTTTATACCTGATGCTTCTGTAAATTTGTGTAATGACGGGGAAAGAGAGAAGGTGATTTATATTCAGCCATTTTATTCCCCAATCCAGAAGCCATACAATTTAATTAATTAATTTATTATTATTATTATTATTATTATTGTTGTTGTTGTTGTTGTTGTTGTTGTTGTTGTTGTTGTTGTTATTTTCTTTGACATTCCTATGTCTAAATCAACGTACTTCTTTGCACCGAAGGCCATCTTTGTTGCACAGGTTAGATGCAACTAGAGGGTTCGTTATAAAGGATTTTCTTTAATACTCATTTACTATTGAGTCAGTCTTACTACCAAGTGCAAAATATGTCAAACAAGGTTTTTCATTTTAGACAAGAAGAGTAAGGCTATTTGTCAACGGTGGAATTATTTGCCCCCAAAAACAGATTATTTAGTAATGCCAACAGCATAGTTTTTTAGCCAGAATTTTGACAGGAATTTTCACCTTTGGGGATTTTTGGGTTGTTTTCAGCCGGTGGAAGGCACTTCAATTGGAGAATGTTAAAATTTTTAAGAGTGACCGTACTTTTTACCTTGATCTGAGACGAATTTTCAGAGTGGAAAATTGGATCTCTAATATTTTTCTTTCTTTAGTTTTTTAACCATTTGATTTTCAAACCTTTGTTGTTGTGTTAATGACCCTTTTAATAGATGGTTGTGAGGGACGTTTTAGTGAGTAGACACACATCTTTATGCTGGAAGTAATAATTAAGTCCCTATTCTAATATTTTGATTGAGTTTTGTACTTTCATAACACTTGTCATGCAATTTATATGTATATGTATATGTATAGGTTTGCATAGAATAATAGTTGATTTAAATGTGTCATAATACACACTAATAATGGTTTCTATATCCGAGGTTGAGCCGAGGCTTTTATTTCTGCCCTTTGGACGAGGCTTCCAACTGTCCTTTAGTCTTGTTAGATGGGGCTTAGGCGATAGAGGCATTTTATGCTTTGGTTTGACCTCTCTGACTTTGATGCAAATGCTAATGGTCATAATGTTAAGTAATGGAACTCTCTTGGGGCTGACGTGGAGCCCATGTTGATACGTAATGGAATCATCTTGGGGTTGATGTGGAACTCGGTGTGTAATAATTATTTCAGCACGTAACATTATTCCATCAAATCCGAATTTCATATTCATGTGGAACGAAAGTGCTTGACGCCTTTTCTATTGCTAGTGCCGAAATTTTGGGTTGCCATTTACCTCATGGCTTTGCCGTTTTGCATTATAAGGTGAGGATGCCGAAGCAAAATAAATGGTTCCGCTTATACGAGGCATTTGTGAAAAAAAAAAAAAAGGCACAAAGCAGATATAACTAGTATTCTAGCATTATAAAAATTATGAGGTTTCATATATGAAAGAAATCCAATAGAAATCAAGTACTTGTATAATGGTGGCCTTTTCAATCCTCGACTTATTTTTAAGAGGATGCTCTTTTATTCCCAAGATAATTTTTTTCATACAGGCTAAAAGAGTAAGTCCACGGAGGGTTCTTTGCTTATCTCTCTTATATGATTTTGTTAATGGGGGGGATATTCTTTCAATTCCTAAATAATTTATCAATACACGTTGAAGGGGTTATTAGCTTATATTCCTTGTAGGTTTTTGTTTATTGTATACTCTTTCAATCCCATAAGTTGCCTTCAGTTGGAGAAACTCTTTCAATATCCAAGAGTTTTGACTAGCGCAGGGCGAAAAGAAGACAATTCCACTATTGATTGTTAAAATATCTTTCCTACCAGGGCTTTATATAAATATCTCCATATGCTTATGGAGAAGGGAGCTCAACTCTCTCATTGAGGTCTTTGAATATAACACAGAACCAACAGTCCTCAATGAGTTAATAGGGACTAAACAAGACCACAACTCCCTCATTGGGTCTTTAGAGAAAATTGGATACCAATAATTATTAAATTAATAGATAGTGTTGACCCCAAAAAATGAACTCAATAGATGTCGGGCCCACTCTTGCCACGACAAGCACTGATCCGGCATGTTTTTACCTGAAAAGGAGCGGTAAGCTAGTTGGTTTGAACGCGGTAGGTACTTTCCGACGAAAGACAGATGTTCAGGTTCCGACGGTTGGGTTTAGACAGCACTTGTGCTATCAACGAGTGCTCGATCCGTTTTCCCTAACTAAATTGCTCTTTTGTAATGAAATATGTGGAATGATAGATATGAGAATGTATAATATATTGTTGAGTGTGTCAATATATCTTCTTCACTTGTATTTTATCAGACAAAGCCAAGCATGCAAGTATGTTATTTCCTCTATTGATCGCACCATCATTTTTTCAGTACAAAGAGATGCTATTTATACTAATCTAGCGACATGGGGACCGTTGGATCGGATCCACGTGGCAACATCTCCTAGACCGAGGCTTCACATCACTGTTCATTCATTACATTCGATGTTTGACAACGGATCAGCCGCGCTACTAGTAGGCTGGCACTGACACATTAACACTACATACACTTTATGATAGACATCCCATCAATCAGTTCTAATAGATCTCCGAATCTGTTGGGAGGCAGCGTCGGCATTAGCATGTGTTGGGGTCAACTTTGGGCTTATGGACATCTCGTGTGATTGAGCTTCGGTGCCTTAATACTTCATACATGAAGAATTTCTGCCTTTGCATTGAGGGGCTTTAGGCAAACCTTCGTTACTTGGGCTGGAAGGGACATCAGACGAATATAGCCTCGGCACTCGCACGACCTCGGATAGTTGGATCCTTTGTTATCCTTGACTGTGCTGACTTTTTAACTGACTCTATGTCCACTTGGCTACGGGGAGTACGTGGCTATCCACGTGGAGTGTTGACTTGGAGCCTGTGATTTCAGGGGGTAACAATAGTCCCCCAAGTCTATGCATGGTTATTCATGTAAAGCATGGACTTTTTCATGTCATGTAATTTCTTGAAGGAAAGAGGCTCTAATCTTGGCATACCTTCCTGTTAGCATCTTCCGAAGTGATGCACATGGTGAGTTCTGTCTCTAGTATCCGAGGAGAGTGACGTAACCGAAGTTCATAGTGTTTTCCTTTCAGAAGTTAGGAGTGTCTGCCGTTGACAAGACAACATCGGAGTGATAATTCCGAGGAGTTTGTTTAAATAATTTATCAGAAATACGAGGAGTCCTTGGTGATGGCGCCTTAATGATTTGACGCTGTTTGCTGTTTCCAATAAAAGGTAATTATGATGGTACAATTCACAATGCATGCTACAGCTGCCGCATTAAATGAGTAATCATGGCTCTCTTCTGTTCCCTATTTGATTTATAGGCGCGATAGGGCACGTGCGCCCCACGCCTTGATCTGAACCGTTGAATCCGAAGCATCTGAAGTGATATGTGGCTCAGATTTTAGTCTCTAGACGTAGGTTAGATGGCTTAAACCTTGATCCGACGGCTGGGGTCGAGCTTTCCTGCCTATAAAAGGAGATTGCTTTCAAGAAAAATTCTTTTTTTCTCTACCTCTACGAGAATTTCTGCCCGCGAGTTTCATCTTCTCCAAACTTTCTTCAAGTTCTCCAATCTTCGAGATTTCTTTCTCTCCTGTCCAGGATATTCTTGTAAGTGTTGTGAACCCCCACTGTGTTTCACAAAAAAATTCTTTCAGGTTCCTGGATCAATAGCATCTTCTTCCTCTTCTGAAGATAGCGTAGGTATCGATAGGTTAGTTGTTGGGACGGGGGTGAACTGGCCAGTACTGCCGACCCTATTAGGGCTGTCGAAGCTGGCGAAGCGACGCCACTTTGGGAGAAGGGTCCGAGGGTGAGGATGAAAGAACAGCTTAGGGGCAGCCAAAATTCCTTCTAATGCCAATCCAACCAAGCTAGCTGACCTTAGGGTGAAATTTAGGATTCCCTACAATATACAATTAATATCCCCGTCTCCTGATGAGCGAGCCTACTACCCTAGGCAAGGATGTGTCACAATTAGCGAGTACCTTCTCAAGGCAGGACTTCGTCTACCCCTTCACCCTTTTTTTTGAGTCGTCCTTAGATTATATGGACTGGCTCCCAGCCAACTTTCTCCCAACACTTGGGTCCAGTTAGTCGGTTCCTATATTCTTTGGAAGAAAACTTTCCTGGGCAAGGACATGCCCCTTTACGTTTTCCAAACCATCTACCAGCCTAGGTCGTTAGGCAAAGGGAATTCTAGGGGTTGGTATTCCATGTGCCCATGGGGGGGCATGCTCCTTTCATGACAGGTCTTCCTTTCTCCATAAAAAGGTGGAAGGAAACCTGGTTCTGGGTTTTGGGAAAGTAGCAAGGGTGTGAGGATGACACTGTCCCCTTCGTCAAAGTCTCGAACTCTTACTCCAAGCCCAGTGAGTGCTAATTTTAAGCGTTGTTTCCGACTTTCTTTCCGAACCTTTTTACTAATGCAATGTTCATCACTTTCAAGGACTGTTGAACGTTTTGAGCTTGATTCTTCTCATTGGGAGATCTTGTCTGACATCTACCGTCAACCCTCCTCGACTCGTCACTTCGACAATTTGGTCACCCCACAGCGATTTTATGAAGTTGTAGCTCTCATGGAGTCTAGATATATTTTCAGCTTTTGCGAACGTTTTCTCGTCTGCCTATTTGTCGCCTTTCATTCATGTCTGACTTCGGAGCATTGCTTGCAGAGAACTTAAAAAAAATGAAGGTGCCTACCCCTGATATGGCCACTATTCTGGCAGCCACTTCGACGATGGGTCGCAAGGGTGTGAAGGGCACATCTGCCTGGGAAAGGCAGATCAAAGGGAAGTTGGAGAGGGCCAGCAAGGAAGCTGCCTCTCAAGAGGAGGGTCGGCCCCCTTTGCTGGACCGAGAAAAGCAGGCGTTGGTTGAGGAGCCCAAGAAGAAATTTCGAGTTTCCACCACCGGGGTGGATAGC